TATACGATCTAGCAATTATATTGTACTCTAAATTACAGCGCATATATATTAACACTTATTGCATTAAAATTTATTAATGATAGAATTAAATTTATTTTGACTTATTTATTTTGGAAATGCATGATTATAGCATCTATAAATGGTGAAAATCCAGGACTTTAAATGGACTTTATATTTTTAAGTTTTTAAGGCTCTGCCCTGGACCTGCAAGGGGGCCTATAGCAGCCCCCTTAACCTCCCCCCCCCCCCCCGCAAACTGTGCGTAACATCAATTTCGGTCTAGCTACGCCCCTGCTTATGACAAAAACTTTTACTAAATTTTTTCTGGCTTAAAATTTTCAAAAATGACTATGTCCCTTCTTTAATATGGAGGAAAAATGTACCTACCTGCCCCATGAACTTAGCCTCAAGCTATGTCCACTTATTCCATTATGAAACACAATGAAAGAGAACAAACATAAACAATAATCATTTGTTAGGTCATCACATGTGATGAATAACAAAGATGCTTTTTACAGATTTTCGGAAAATCAACCTGATAATACCCGGAAAGGGTCACATAAACCACAGCTGATATTGATTTTTATAGAAGAGTTATTACAGAGTTATTACAGATATATGATGATAACTTGACACTTTAGTTTTCATAAAAAATATTTAATGGACAATAATTAAGTATGAAAGACTAATAAATATAATTAGAAAAATCTTAGTAACAAAAAATGCCATTATAAAATAAAGTATCAGAGAAAGTATGCAAGGTTCACAGACTCCGTAAGTCAAATGTCAGTAATATTGATGCAGCGGGAACTAACAATATTGTACCCTCTGAATCAGACATGACCTACGTAAATTTTCTATGATTAAGAAATACGAGTCAAGATATTTCTAGTTCAATAAATTATTTTGGAAACAAAATGCCTTTGACTTATATTGGAGTGAAAGCTAAGTACTAAAGTAACCCTTAAACCCTTTTAAAGGAAAATATGCAAACAGACTGTGATATTTTCCCAGTGAAAATGTGACGTTTTCCCAAAAAATGTAAAAATCGCGCATTTTTTTACCTCAAAAAGGGCTAGGCCACCTTCGCCAAAAGTAGTGAAAAGGCCCCGAATAAGCTCGGCACATAATTGAGACATTCTACCCTGCTAAACTGCGGAAAAAAAAATCGCAAATGTTGAGTTCTGACCCTGCCCTTGCGAATTCATTAATCTGAAAAATAAGTCGGGAATGGTGTTTTCGCAAAATAAAGATCACGTGCATATAAAGTCATTTACAGTACATAGAACTTTTCTGTAAAAATTGTAAAATTATTTGTTTTCAACTACTTATTGCAGAGACAATGACTCAGATTCTCATTGTGACACGTAGAGTTAAAGTTAACAGTGTGAGGTATCACATCATTAAAACATGAAATTGTATTCTTTTTTTCTATACATTTTGTTAACTTCTTTTCAACTAGAAAAATGAATTTTCAGTTCAAAATGTGTAATTTTGTTTTTGTCTCAGTGGGCTTCAATCCCCTACCAGGGTGTTGCCCTGGACCCACAAAGCGGTCTATAGGCAGCCCCTTGACCCCTAATTTGCTGATTTGTAAATGTCTCAAATAATAATGAAATCCCTGTAGATGTCCCCTATTTATTGTCAGTAGTGCTGATGGCCATCTAGACAGACAGACTCATGATTCCCATTGTTGGGGGGTTATCATAGTTATATCAAGATATTAGTGAAAACTGTATGACTATAATTATGTAATGTTAAATGGACTTTATATTTTTAACTTTTTAAGGTCAACACTCAGTCTGTCAGTCATTCCCAAAGACTGTCGGCCCTGTCCGATAAAAAATCAGTAGGTCCTATGGAAATGTCCGCATTGTTGGTCCTACTGTCTGGTAAAAAGTCTGGGCTCCGTAATTTATACATGTTTAAGTAATTTTCATGATGTGCGTTTTTTATGCACCGCTTCTTGTTCTCACTTATGGATACATGGTACATACTGGCTATTTTCAACAAGAGCCGGTTGAACCGATGATGCTCCCCGACTAGGATCTGGACACAGAAAAGTATAACTTTTGTAGTTTCAGAGTTATGTCCCAGACAAAGTTCAAAGTGTGATAATTCCAAACTTAAGCAATGCAGAGTTACTGTTCTTTGCACTGCAGTTCTACTCAATAAGATCTATCTTCTGACTTGCGCGCGACATGTCATCTCAATATGTTGATCATTTCGGTGAAAAAGTTGTAAATTCAGACTTCAAATAACCAAGTTATGGGCCGGACACAATTTGCTTCAAGGTCATGCCGTGACCTTGACCTTCAAGGTAGCAACCCAAATGTTGCGCCCGACATGTTGTCTCAATATGGTGATCATTACTGTGAAATAGTTGTAAAATCCAACTTCAAATAACGAAATATGGGCCAGACACGATTTTGCTTCAAGGTCATGCTGTGACCTTGACCTTCAAGGTAGCGACCCAAATGTTGCGCACGACATGTCGTCTCAATATAGTGATCATTTCTGTGAAAAAGTTGTAAAATCCAACTTCAAACTAGAACTGTGTCCAAAGGACATGGATGCCTCCACTGAACAGATGTGCCCGTAAACAAGAGGAGTTGCGTTCACAAAATTTCTATATGGTATACAGTGAAAAAATCAACAAAGGGCCATAATTCTGTTAAATTTGGTCGCAGCAAAAATTCCTTCCTTTACTTCCATCTACACATTAAGGTTGTTCATCTCTGGAAGTTTAAGCAAAATCTGCCATCTGGTTTAAGAGGAGTTGCATTCACAAAATTTCTATATGGTACATAGTGAAAAAATCAACAAAGGGCCATAATTCTGTTAAATTTGGTCGCAGCAAAAATTCCTTCCTTTACTACCATCTACACATTAAGGTTGTTCATCCCTAGAAGTTTAAGCAAAATCTGCAATCCGGTTTAAGAGGAGTTGCGTTCACAAAATTTCTACATAGTATATAGTGAAAAAATCAACAAAGGGCCATAATTCTGTTAAATTTGGTCGCAGCATTAAAATTTCCTTCCTTTACTACCATCTACACATTAAGGTTGTTCATCCCTGGAAGTTTAAGCAAAATCTGCCATCCGGTTTAAGAGGAGTTGCGTTCACAAGATTTTGGGACTGACGGACTACGGATGTACTCACTAAATGGTACTTATATGACTTTTCCTTTAATCTTTTTGACCATTTTTAGTCACACAAGGCTTAAAAAAGGACACACAAGTAAAAACGGAATGAATAGGATCAAAGAGAATTTACTGTTACCCATTGTTCTCCAAATCACACAAGTACCTCTGGTATGGACGGACGTACGGAGGGACGGACAAGTGCAACGCTATATGCTCCCCACTTTGTGGGGGCATAAAAAGGAAGTTATAGGCCAGACACGATTTCGCTGCAAGGTCATGCTGTGACCTTGACCTTCAAGGTAGCAATCCAAATTTGACGCGACATGTCATCTCAATATGGTGATCATTTCTGTGAAATAGTTGTAAAATCCGACTTAAAATAACCAAGTTATGGGCCAGATACGATTTTTGTTAAAGGTCATGCTCTGACCTTGACCTTCAAGGTAGTGACCTAAATGTTGAGCGTGATACATTGTCTCAATATGGTGATCATTTCTGTGACAAAGTTGTATAATCCAACTTCAAATAACTAAGTTATGGGCCGGACACAATTTTGCTTCAAGGTCATGTTGTGACCTTGACCTTCAAGGTAGCGACCTATATATTGCGCGTGACACGTCATGTCAATATGGTGGTCATTTTTATGAAATAGTTGCAAACTCTGACTTCAAATAACGAAGTTATGGGCCGGACATGATTTTTGTTTAAGGTCATGCTGTGACCTTGACCTTCAAGGTAGCGACCCGAATGTTGTGCGCAACATTTCGTCTCAATATGGCGATCATTTCTGTGAAATAGTTGTAAAATCTGTAACATAGCATTTCCTAGTCAAAATGCTTTTAGAGTATTGTGAAAACATTAATATTTTCAATATTCATAAATTAACTTTTACATTTTTATTAATCATTAAAAGAATTTCATGTTGCATAAATATTTTGATAAAAATTACTTTTAGATTCTCAAGTGATAAATTTTACAACTATAGTATAAACATGTCATAGTGGTCCATAAGGAAATGTTATCACCTTTTGATTTTAATACTTTATGGCTTAATTCTCAATTTCCTAGTCTTTTATCAAACAAGCCATACTTGATTATCTTTTGACATTTATTGCTAATATATCTTAAGGCTTAATCACCGTATGACAACTCTTTCTTAATTTATATTGTTGATTTTATATTTTAAATTAGTCTTATTTTGATTTGGGAGCACTCAACATTTAAAAGTCTTATCTAGAATTCTGGAAGTACAACATCTAGTCTTAACTTGGAAAATAAATAAGTAAAATTAATTCAGGTGCTAGCTGTGAAAATATATATGTGGACTATATTATTATTTTATATTTGAGAACTTTCAATTACTATAAAGAAATAAATGAAATAACATCAACACTGGACTTGTGTTATACAATACCATCATTTACAAAAAGGATACTGGAGGTCACTGATATACTCCAGTATCCCACATCAACCAACCGAGGGTTTCCGTGTAGGGCGCTCACTACGCCAGTGAGTCAGATTCCCCAAACAACCCCAAAGCGAAGGCCCTGCCGGCGACCCTCAGCTACGGTTTTTTTATGTGGGATACTGGAGTATATCTTTGTCACATGATACACATGTATTAACAGTAAGAATTAACTACCAGTGGCCTATGGGAAATTGACATTTAACACAAAAAGTGAGGGGTAATAAAAACAGTTAACATGGTCACAATGGCCACTTATGGATTGTTCCACCCAGGTGAAAAGTAGAGGACTTTAAACATGTCATCTGTTCATCTTTTCCACTTTTTAAAATTCTGTTTTTGGCTTTTTTTTCTGCAAACAAGTTTCATATCAAAACTATCTGTATTACCTTATCTGTTACTTTTGTACATTTATCTACTTGAAGAAATTCTTGTATGACGTCATCCTCTGAAAAAAATAAAAATTATAATATTCAAGAAATGGTTTAAGGAAAAGGTTATGTAAGAATGAAAAATTGATATCAAAAAAAGAAATACTATACATAGTTAATCTGCAAATTTTGTGCATTCAAATAATGATATTAAATGCTTGATAACAAAATTTAATTATCTAAATCTCTGATTTCTACAAATCAGTAGACGCAGCCATGTTTGTATATTGGCTGTACAAAACCAAGTGCAGGGCTCTACATTAACGGTTGTCTGACTGCCCGGGACAACCAAAAGTTTGGTCAGGACAAGTGAATTTCAAAAGAACTTGTCCGAGAGGGCAAGTGAAAAAAATCATAAGTAAACATATAAAATTCCAATATTATGACCAATAATCCTTGCAAATTACAATTTCAATCTTAATTAGACTTAATTAGAACGGATCACATTTGTGGAGACGATAAATAATGAACCTCACAGCAGGGGCAATTGTACATGTACACAGACTATCCGGTTGTCTGATGAATATGTCAAAACTTGATTAACATTATTAATTATGTCAACACTTCTTCTTATTAAAGGTGTTCAAACCCTGTTAAAGTTCAAATCGCAGCCTTGAACTTAGTTTAATTTAGCCGTCTAAACATTTGCCGATTTCTGGCTGTTTATTTTTGCCGTTAAAATCTAAAATTTATCGTATATCCTCAAAAAAAACGTTTCTCCTGTAGATAATTGTGAAAATAATAACAATTCATCTGCAAATGTGATACAGAGACATATCCATTATCCACAAGGAAAAAAGATGTAAATTTAGAAACAAAAACGGTAAATGAAATTGTCACATATTTTCGCGACTTAAGATGTGGTAAACACAAAAAAAAACACAAAGTTTCTCTCCACAACTTTATAAAAATTCTTTTATGAAGAAAGTACTATATTTAAGTGATTTTTATAATATTATATCAAATGCACAAAACTTGGATTTTTTGTCAGAATAACCCATGTTTTTTTTTTACTTTTTTTTTCATCAAAAATACATATAACTTAATTACTGAAAACATTTTAAAAGCTTATTTAGCCCCTTTTAACCTTCCTTCTCTTTCCAACCAATTTTAGTGAAAATATGAGTATGATTTTGTCACAAAATGTCTTAATTTCTTAAAATAAATATGAGTATGATTTTGTCACAAAATGTCTTAATTTCTTAAAATAGCCTGTACGGCTTATAATGAAACCCATGCATGATAAGTGAATAAATAAACCCCATTTTCAAAGATTGCCAACACTTTTTTCTCAAAACTTACTAATAAATGTAGGGTTGCCTTGTTTAGGTCAGGGCAAGCAAGCTTTGGGTCAGGGCAAGTAATTTTCAAAAGTACTTGCCCGACAGGACAACCAAATAAAAAAGTTAATGTCAAGGCCTGAAGTGCATGTGATGTCATTACCCCACATCTTTAGATTTACAATAAATAATTTAATTGTCAAATCGTAGCAAAAGATATTATAAACAAGCAATTATCATAGTATTGCAAGCAATCCATAAGTCCCCTACCGGTAAGAGCCCAAGCAACATTCTGAAGGGCCATTGGCCATTCACTTATGTTCCTATTTTAAGTAAATTTGTTAAAAAAGTTATTTAAAAGTAATCACAGGAAACAGTTTTTATGTACAGACAGACAGACTGAAGGACACTCTAAAGTTATTTTTTAAACATCCCTGTTATCAAAATAAAACATTTTTAAATCCTATCATGATTGAAGAAGTTGGAGTAAAAATTACCAATTTCTCAAAAAAAAGTCTAAGTTCAAAAGGGGCATAATTCTGGAAATAGTCTTGCTAGAGTATTGAACACTCACAAATGTTGAGTGATAATAAGAAACATTTATATGAAGTTTGAAGTAGATACATTCAAAAAAAGAAGTTATTAAAAAAAACAATGTTTTTTTCATGAAAATTTTAAGTTCAAGGGAGGTAATTCTGATAAATTTTGTGCTAGAGTTGTAAACCTTGTCACATATGATTTGGTTGATGACAAGCAACTTATATTTAAAGTTTGAAGAAAATACCTTAAGATATAAAGAAATTATAGTGAAAAAACTTAAAAACTGGAATCAGAAATCTTGAAATTCAGTCTATTTGTTGCCATAGCAACCAGAATTTTCAACATAGGAAGATAAGAAAAGGATGTGCATAATTTCCATACTGCCATCTACCCATATGTAAAGTTTATTAAACATATTTTCAGTACTTTTTGTGTTATCACTGGATCCAGGTTATGTGTAAAATTTGCCATATTTTCAGTCTATTTGTTGCCATAGCAACCAGAATTTTCAACATAGGAAGAAAAGAAAAAGATGTGCATAATCTTCATACTGCCATCTATCCATATGTCAAGTTTCATAAAAATATTTTCAGTACTTTTTGCTTTATCGCGGGATCCAGGTTATGTGTAAAATTTGCCATATTTTCAGTCTATTTGTTGCCATAGCAACCAGAATTTTCAACATAGGAAGAAAAGAAAAAGACGTGCATAATCTCCATACTGCCATCTATCCATATATCAAGTTTCATTAAAATATTTTTAGTACTTTTTGCGTTATCGCGGGATCCAGTTTTGTGGACGGACGGACTGACGGACGGACGGACTGACGGACGGACGGACAGACAGATGGACGGAGGGTAAACCTAAAGTCCCCTCCGGTAAACCGGTAGGGGACTAACTATTGAATACACAAATTAATTTTATATAGGATGTGTAGGGACAAGAAGTTTTTTGGGGGGTTCAAAATGTGTACCATTATCCAAGAAAAAGGAACAAATAAAATTTTATGTAATTAAAAACTACAGTCGACTCCACTTATAACGAACTCGCTTATAACGAACTATCATTAATAGCGAACTAAATCTGACATCCCCGGCCGATTCCTTCTTTATGTTATATTTAATCACATCGCTTAATACGTACTCGCTTATAGCGAATTTTCGGCTATAACGAACCATTTTTCAAGCCACAAATGACGGAAAAAATGTAAATTTCCTCGGTTATAACAAACTGTTATAATTGAAATATCGGGATGCGCTCAATTAGGATCAGTACATGAATAACGCTATCCGATAATTAAACAATCGTATGATTGCACGGGTTAGTTATGGCTTCGCCCGGGTGTAAAAAGTCCATGCTTTTCCAGGGATTTCCATGGAAAATAAGAGGCTGGAGTATTGGAACAAAATTTTCCAGCCTTTTCCAGCCTGAAGCTGAGAAAAAATGGGCTGGAAAAACAGGGGAAAAACATGGAACATTTTCCATGCTGCATGGAATATTTTCCATGTTTTCCATGGAAAAGCATGGACTTTATTCCATGCTTTTCCATGTACATGGAGTATTGGAACAAAAGTATGGATTTTTTTCCAGGGTATTCCATGTGTTTGCCAACCATAGAGGCTGGACTTTTTACCATGGTAAATAGTCCAGCCTTGATGGAATAAAAAAATCCAGCCTAATTCCAGCATCCCTGAATGTTCTTAAAATGTAAAATTCTCTGACGGAATTCAGCACAGGAATGTTTGGGGTGGAATTTTTATTAGTTTAACATGATCACATATTTCTATCACAAAATTTAATACATATCCTTTAGTCCAAATACAGAATAGAACATCCTACATTCACTATAGCACAAACAGTTTTTGGGGAGGCTATGCCGACCCAATGTTAATACCGTCCGTCAAATCTTACTGCCGCGGTAATCAGGTCAAAAAATAGTACCTTGATTTTTTCTAAGCTGACTCATCACTCATCACAGACATTTACAATATGAAAATATTTTCATTCTTTAATTTCATATCAGATAATAATTCTCTGAAAAATTCTTGATTTTTGTTTGTTATTTTTTCAAAATCACTACTCCGTGACGTCATACTGCCGCGGTAATCAGGTTTAGGCATACGTACGTCTGTAATAAATAGTTCTGGTATGAAAACCCTTCTACATAATAACTTTATCAATAATTTTTTAACAAAAAGCATAAATGAAAATTTATAAGTAAATGCTTTAATTAGGTGGCAAATATTCTTTATTATTTTTGATAACAATTTTCCAATTACTACGCAGCGACCAACTGTTTATGACGGGTCATTAACTAGAACGTTGCAACACCGTAGTCTCAATATCATGCATGTTCTTTTGTTGATATAAACCATTAATAGTCCTTAATATTTTTTAAAGACAAATAATGGTAAATTGTCGCTTACATCAGAGACATGGATCGTGCTTGCGTGATAACTAAGGAAAACTAACTTATTAGTACACCCTAGGAGGCTGTACGCGGAAAACGCTCATAAACCGCTATATCATATAGCTGTAAAGTGAACAGTTAAATGACAGAAATATGTGGTCAAATATGTTTTAACAAGGAAATAATTATTTCAGAGAAAGACGCAAAGATCAGTCTTCAATCAAATGAATGATCCCGTATTGTGTAATTAGAAAGTTTATTCAATTCTAGGGCAACGCATCATAATTTGATAGTCCATGTGTAATAAAATTCAAATTTTCAATACAGATTATGAGATACATAAAAAATATTAAAGAATAAGAGGCTTAAAAAACAACAACAAAAAACAACAAAAAACGCATATATATACGAATGACTTAACATATCTTACGAAACTTTAATTTGAAAACGATATTTGCGGGCGCTGAAGTGATTAATGTTTATTTGAATAAATCAAATAAAAATACTTATATGTTTGTGTTCTAAAAATAATTGGCGGCATAAGAGGAATTTCGTATTCATTTTACAACACTTGAAAAAATACTACAGAAAATGTGTTTTTTATGCTCCCCGAAAAAATTTCGGGGGAGCATATAGTCGCCGCCTTGTCCGTCCGTCCGTCCGTCCGTCCCGTCCGTCCGTCCCCTTTTCTTGTCCGGGACATAACTTTGTAACAACAAGAGGTATCAACATGAAACTTTGTAGGTAGATAGATCTCATTGAGTAGAAGTGCAGTGCACAAGAACCG